ATCATTAATTAAAATAAAATTTTGTTGAATTCGAATTTATGTCTAATATTATTTATTTGCACTTTAGTTTATATATCTGATCATTTGAAAATTTAAAATTCTTTTATATAATTACGGTGTTCATAGGTTCTTCCAATACTTTTCTTGCTTCAGGAAAAATTAATAATAAGTATTGCAATTATTGCTTTTAATAGACCATCTTTTTGTTTTCGTGTGGTAAGAAAAAATGTTTTCGAAGTATTGTAAGTAAATCTTCAATATCACAATGAAGTTTTTAGCACTCAGTAGAATATTTATTATATTAAATTCTTTTTATCAAATTATCATTTGTTATATTTCTTTCAGTTTCTGTTGAGAGTTCACTCTTCTCTTTGTATTGCAAAAAAATAAAAAAATCTCTCTATTTCTACTCATTATGTAGAGCAAGGCCAACAAAATTTGTATCGAAGTTAATTATTGTCACAATATGGATTGTTTCTATCACATTTGCTATACCATGTGCCATTGCTTTTCGCGTAGAGTTGGTACACGAACGGATAAGAGGTATGCTAAACATAAGCAATACAATAAACGATTTTAACAAAACTCTGACAACTTTTAGAGGATGGCGTAATCTACAATATGACACGACCGTTTTGCTTGAATAAGAATCTCTCAGAAGAGCAGTTGCAAACATATCGTTATTCTTTGGTATTTGTGCAGTACTTGGTGCCATTTTGCGTCATCAGTTTTGTGTACATACAAATGGCAGTGAAATTATGGGGCACTAGAACACCTGGTAATGCACAAGATTTGCGTGACATGACATTGTTAAGAAATAAGAAGAAGGTAAATCAAATACGTGTCAAAATGATTAACTGCTCATAAATAGGAAAGGGAGATTATAAGTTCTCTTACCTGCATAATAGTATGACAAACTGACAGTTACATCCTGTCTGTAAAAAGTATGAATAGTTATCTCGACTTTTACTTATAAAGTTACGATATTTGACTCAACTCATTTATTTAAAATTTTTGTTTTATTTCTTTTGGTGATGACAGGTCATTAAAATGCTGATTATTGTCGTCATTGTATTTGGATTATGCTGGTTACCACTACAGCTCTATAACATACTTTACGTAACAATACCAGAAATAAATGAATATCATTTCATCAGCATCATTTGGTTTTGTTGTGATTGGCTCGCAATGAGTAACAGTTGCTATAATCCTTTCATTTATGGTATTTACAATGTAAGTATAAATACGTGCCATTGTCCTATTATTTTACAAAATTATTACTTTTATTTAAATATTTATTTCGGTTTTTCATTGCGAACTTTATAAAATCAATATAAAATCATCCAAATGAAAATTTAACCTTTACTTCTTCTTCCCAAAGTATGTACTTGTTCGTACTTAAAGGATTTGATTTTCCTCGCGTATTTCAACACTGAGCATAAGTGTGAACATAAGTATCTGTATTTTTTTAATTTTATGTTGACTGAGCTATTTAAATACCTTTGAGATATTTATATGAATAGCCATTTTTAAAACTCTTCCAAAAGGATTTGTGGGTGTCTAGTAGTTTTAGTACAGAACTTTCACAAGTTCGGTTTCTGTTTAGTTTATGGTTAGCTATTTGAAACGTGGGTTGTTTTACAACCGCTGTTTTGGTATTATTAGACGAAAAACTTCCAGTACGTGTAAATTAAGCTTTAAGTGCTATTGAATTGGGCACCATTTGTTCACCGATTTGTTATCAGTGCACTTTGTTTTTTGAGGATGTGTATCGACTGCATGCTTACAGATCACTCTTAAATTCAAGACGTTTCACTAACGAGCGGCAATTAAGTAATGTTCAAAATTTTGCAAACTATATGCCAAGTCAGTGAAAATTGCCTGAAAAGAATGCTATACTGTTAGATATCCAGTGGTGGAGATTTGATTAATGTTGTGTTTTACACTTAATCATCTAGTCTTATATAGCCGATTATATTTGAGTTAAAATCAGCAGGTATAAATTATTTATCATTTAATTACTTATTTTAATACAATATAGCAATAGTTGTTCATTTAGAGAAGAATTTATAAGGTGCACACTGTTTGTATTATTTCTGATTTAAGTTGAACAAAAAACTGAATAACCATTTGAAGCTTGAAAAAAACAAGGATCAAGCGGTTTGATTCGGAAGATATCGGATTAAGTTTTCAAAATAGATTAAGGTATTCCTATTAGAGAAAATTAAAATTTAAGGATGGTTGTCTTGAGCTAAACCTGTATAGCTAAAACAATCCTATATGACTTCATATTATAGTTCGGATTTTTCTGATTAAGTAGAGAATAAATTTTGTCTTTACAAAGTTTATTCTCGACCTTAATATGCATTAATCTTATATTGAAAGAAAATCCAAATGCAATGTGTCGAAGCTTCTTAACAATTTGAATATATGTGTCATTTTAGTTTACAATCGATCGATGATTATAACAATTATTTACTTTGAATTCATTTACTAAAGAATACAAAATATATTAAGTAAAGTCTTAAACTTTAGACTTCACTTTACTAGACACGAAAAATATGTCTGCTTGTTGTTATAACTACATAGTACTCCTTTCATTTTCTTTGTAGTCATATACTAGATGCGTTACTCCCAATCACCGTAGAAGGCACTACCGATTTTAACCCCAAAAACAGAAGACTGCATGCTGTTGTGTATCTAAAGTCATAACATTTACTGAATAAGAAATGTATTTCTAACACTTTAAATACTTAGAAAAATAGAACGTTTTAAATTTTTTTGAGGAACTAAAAACCTTGACTAATAGGTTAACAAATGCTTTAGGTACTTTGAGAAGGTGACACTTTTAGAAGTAGTTTTTCATTATTATTTCATGAAGTGCAAATGAAAATTTATATTTATCAGCTAATAAAATAAGGTAAAGGGAATTATTTTGGGTAATTTTAATTCGTAATTTTAATAAGATTTTATGCATTCGGTTCACATATATACTTCAATCAAATGTAATCCCACTTAAATTATATTATTATTGAGACTAAAGGTAAAAAAGCAATGAAATTCTATTAGAACTATCATAGAGCCTTTTCATTTTTCCTTAATATATTTTTTTTACTAACACTTTTCCTGCAAATACCTTAAAAGCTTTCAATAATTTTGGAAATCTTTTTCAGGAAAAATTCAAGCGTGAATTCAATAAACGTTTTGCGGCATGCTTTTGTAAATTCAAGACATCCTTGGATTCACATGACCGCACTCTATCCATGCACACACGCGGTAGTTCCCTACGTTCCAGTTACATGAGTTCCTCAATGCGTATGCGTAATAACATATTCTCATCCAGTCATCAACACCCTGTTAGAACGGCACATTGCTACCGTCCAGGGCAGATGAAAATTGGTAAAAATGGCCACAACAACATTTACAATGTCATGACTTTCGGTAATAACACTGCGAACAATTTTAATGGAGGCGTTGATGCTAACATTATTGTTGGTGTACATGATGCAAATAATGTTGGTCCGTTAATGTACCAGTGGAGGCGTAATAACTTTAAGCCGTTACATCCAGATGTCATTGAAAATGAAGATGATATGGGATTGATGGAGTTGCCGTCAACACCGCCATCAGAGATACCTTCCGGTACGTATGGCAACACGGTTGATACGATTAAAAGCGACTCGAATGAAAGTTCCAGTTGTATTTGTGAACAAGAATTAGGTAGTCGCACTGAGTGTGATGGCACTTGTATACTGATGGAAGTTGCACGTGTGCAGGCACCGCACACTGACATCGTCGAAGCTACGGACAAGGACATACAATTTTAAATGTTCCAAGCACTGCAGGTGTTGTGATTTAGCAATGCACATATATTATAAATTAAGTTAATTATAATTAAAATTTTAGTTGTACTCTCTTTCTTATGTTTTCTTAAGAAAAGTTGTTTGAAACTGTGATCATTAGAAATTTGTTTGTGATTAAGTGAAACTAATGTAGTGAAAGCACTTTAAAAAAGTCAAAAATGTATGCTTTAAAGTATGTATAAGTTTAGTGTTAAGGCGCTGTGCGAGTACTTAAATTAGCAGCTGATTGAACAGTATTAAATCTTCTAAAAGTAAGTTATTTTTGTAAATAAAATCAATTAATTTAGGGCCATTGTGCAGTATGAGCTAGTGAACTTGGAACAATTTAATTATATTATTTTATTTTCAAACACAGACGAATAGTTTTTAAAGCAATTAACTTAAGTATTTTCTTGCGTGTAAATCGATACATTAAAATTCATAAAAATGATTAAACTTTAAATTTAAAATAATAATAATTATGTAAAGATAAGTAACATATAGGCAAGGTTAGTAGTACTATAAAGCAGTCGAATGAATTTTTTTATATGCTTATTAGAGTATTAATGAATTGATGCGTGTATAGTTCTTTACGGATTATTTATATAAAGAAAGAAATTAATTGTAATATATGGAAATGCATTGAAAAAAATTAATTTTAATGTGTGTAAATATATTTCTCATATCAATAAAATTAGTTATTGAATCATTTAAAAAATAAATTGAGCTTATGAAATTGTAATACTAGTGTTGTTCTTTCAAAATTTTTGTTTATTTTTGTATAATTTTGGTGGCCAATTCACTTAATGAAATTACTTATATCTGTGTTTATAGCTACAATTTTGTATAAAAGCTTTGCATTTTAAAAAAAAATAAAAGCTTATAACACTTTGAGATCAAATGCCACAACATTAACTGATTTTTGGTCGATGCTATAATCTTTCGAGAGTTACTTGTTACCCCAGATGTACAAATTTATTTTTTTGATCAACTTACAATACAATTTATAATTTTTATGTGTTATGAATTATTCATCTATAACAGAATTATCTTTTCGTAGTAAATTTCAATAACATTCGCATGCTCTGCGACTGCTAAGCGATCCATAATGTGAACTAGCAAAACTCAAACTAAACATATCATGATAGTTTTGTTTAACATACATTTCGGAAAACTACAATATCAAGACTTCGGAATGGATAAATTCTCGTTATCTCTGGGACCTGATGCAATAAATGTACTCATTTTTTGAACTATTGGCCATAAATGAGTCTTAAGGTATACATTTTATAGGACCTCGTTCACAAACTAATATGTGGGTACTTTCAAAGCCGTATTTTATGATCGAATAAAATTTGTATCTAGCGGTATGCAAGTAAATTAAGTAAATGTGAGTAATTTATATTTTATAAATGGACATAATAAAAAGTTTTAACAGCGGTTAAGCAAAAGGCAGATTGGAGTAAAAGTTTGTTAAAATTCGAAAATAACTCTAAACGTAACTCTAAATTTTTAACTTAAGAAAAAAGCTGTTCGAAAAGGTTAACTTATAAATTTATCTGCCTTACTTGTTTATCACGACATTAGCTAGCTATCAATTGCTTATCAATAGTTATGATAAGTACAAAATTAAATATTACCAAATAACTATAAGTAACTAAAAAGTTTTAACTAAAACATACATATTCAAATCAAGGAATAAATTTTAGTTACCGTCCTTTCTTCTTAAGGACCAGACCATCTAATATACTAATTTCTGTTTTCATTAAGAGCTTTAAGTTGTTTGCGACACATACACTAAACGTTTGATACTTTACTAATTTTTGCTTTAAGTCCAAAAATTTTCTCAACTGTTTTTTGTTGAGAAAATTATGGTTCACAGAAAACAAAGCTAAATACATTACATTCTATTCCATTCAAACATTATGAGTCAATATTTATGTTCAATTTTCAACCTCTAAGGGCCATGTTATGTAGAGTGCCTCGGGCACGGCATAAAAATTGTTGTTTTCAATGCAAATTATAAAATCGAGAGTGAGAGAAAAAACAATACATCGGTTCAAATTTCGGCATGAGATCCGAGCTATTTGTGCATTGCCATTTAGGCAAAGCAGTGTTGTCCAGTAATTGATGTCAGAATTTACGCATTTACGCATAAATGACCACAATTTTAATACATTTTGTAGAAAAAATGACAGTAAGCAACACAACCTGAAACTAAGTAGAGTGATTAGCATTATAATTGGCATAAATAATACATTCTTTATATGCAGCACATTCTGTCATCTATCTATTTCTATCTATTTATATATCTATTTATCTATCTATTTTGAAGTCTATTATTAAATTTATCTACCGACATAGATTTATCTTATATTATTTGTATTCGTTCTAAGTTTTAAAGTATTTTTCCGTCTCTTTTTCTTGTTTCCTGATTATCTATCATAAGACGCTTATAGTTTGGTTTGATATATTTCGAAAATAATACTTGTGTATGACAATTCACATCTCAATCTTCCGACTGAGGGCGAAAATCAGGGTCTTATTATTACTTTCAATTAACATATGCATGACTTAATAATTATCATATTAAAATTTTTTAATACTTAATAAAAATAATTACTAATACTAAATGTAGTATTGCTGAAATGATTTAGGACTGTGAAAACCTACTGGTGAGAGAGGATAACCTTACAAATTTAAGACAAACCTCGAATGTTTAAAATAGCGTATATAATGGTTCGCAAGTTCAAAAAATTTACCAACAGAATATTTTTAAAAAAGTCGCTGTTCAGATATTTTAAACGTTTTAGCACTTGTATAAAATAAATTTATTTTAATATTGTATTCATTGACTTGTACATTTTTTCAATCTTAAGAAAGAAATCTGAAAAGTTTATTTAACTTTTCATGCTCCTGAGATCTCATCAAAATAATTGTCACTTCAGTAGCAACAAACAAAATATTTTATTAGGTGGAAAGATAAAGTATTTTTATGGAATCACACAATAAGGGTAGACATAAACCTTTACATTTTAACCAAAAAGCTAGTAATATATTTGCAAGAGTACACTGAACGCAGTCAAAGAGATATTTTTGCTTGAGTTTATTCAAGAATATCTTTAAATCGTAATTTGTAAGAACTTCTGTACAAATTTGTTATCGACCTATTTTCATATTTTCTTTACACGTAAATGAAGTGCTGATAATAAATTAAATTCATACTTGCATTAAAAAAAGTAATGATATATAATGATGATTTTGACTCATTACGATAAACAATTGATGTGGCTTTTATAAAGAATTATTCATATTCTGCTTTGCTGTATTTGTTTCCATGTCAACATACGAAAATTTATTATTTTGTAAAGTAAAAACCGAACAGATTTTAAAGCTTCATTAAAGTTAACTTCTTCAATAATTGTATATTTTCATAAACATTTCTACGAAATGTGTATAAAATTTCTGTTAAGTGCTTTTAAGTTCGCAACATAAAGCTGATTATTTTAATAACACAATATTAATTGTTTTTTGCCCTACAACTGTCATATATAAAATACCCACAATTCTGTTAATTAAAATGATTGTACTGGTTAAATATCTAAAAAATATGTTAAATATAACCTATGCTCTCAGGCAATACTTAAAATTTCAGTTCCTGTGTTTTTAATATGTTTATATATAAGTTTTCCACTGAAGCATAATTTTATTTTAAAAAATAATCAAATACAATAGTATAGTTAGATTGTATTAAATTTATTTAATTTTCTTAGAATTTATGTATTGGTTTTTTGGTTTGTTTTTGGTGCTGTTACTTGGCACTTATTAGTTTACAACTAAATTTGCATGAAAAAAATTTGTCAAGAGAGATGCCGCGTTTATAGACAGCATATAAAAAACGAACTAATGAAATCATTTTAAATCGAGTTTGCAAATTTTTCAGCGTAATACATATATAAGTTACTGGCATAATATATCAGTACTAACACAATCCAAATCACTAATTGGTACCTTATAATATACCTTATTGGTACAATTAGTGATATCACGATTGTGTGAACCTATCAAAAGAAAAACTTAGAATCATCACAGGATTCCTAACAGGGCACTGTAAACTAAAATATCACCTTACAAGTCTTTGTAAGGTGATATTACCGATGCAAGCTGTAGATTCTGTGAAGAGAATGAGGAGTCGGTCACACATGTACAGTTAGCATGCTCTGCGCTAATGCACATACAGAATAGGCTTCTGGGAATGTATATTCTTACGGAAGAGGTAATAAAACTCTGTAAAGTAGGTTCTGTACTAATTTTTATTGACGCAACAAGGCTTAGAGACCTACTCTGAACCCAGAAGAGGGCACAATAGACCCGATGGTCGCTGTGCTACATCCCGTAGAAATAATAATAACAATAATAATACATATATAAGAATTTCTGCACTTATATAAGTATTATATAAAACAAACAATTATCTTGGGAAATGGATTACTAGTATTACCCGTTATAGATAGTGGCAAACTAAGGTTTAGGTAATAACGTACAAAAACCTTCAAAATGACAAAAGAATACTGTATATGAAAAAAAGAGAAAGACCATAAGAAGTTAGATATGTAAATATTAGAACAATTATAATAATATTTATATAATATTTATAATAATATTTAATAATTTTTTTTACATTAAATATTCAAATAAAATTGCTTATTAGTACCTTTTTTTTTGTTATTTGTACTAGGTGCAATATTAAAACGATTTTTGTCTTTATTTGAAGAATCGTTAATAAATAAAAAAAAAAAAAAAAAAAAA